CGGCACGGCTGGCCCCAGGAGGCCCAGCGCAACAAGAGCCTCCGACGGAGCTAATCAAATGCAACTCATGGCCCTTTTTTCCTTATACAGGAGCGAGCCAGACATCTATTGGGTGTGGGAAAATGTGATTTTTTGGGAAAGGGGAGAGGAAAGGCAAACTGCAGAAAGAGCAATGGAGACAGAGGAGGAAAAATAGCCACCAAAGGCATCCCCTGCGTTCCCGCACCAGCCAGGCTGCGGCACAGCTACGCAGGGCCCCGGGCAGCCGTAGGCAATGTGCAGGGTCTGCTCCCAGCCCAGGCGCTTGCCGGGACGTTTGGGTTTACACCACGGAGGGGGAGCGGGCGGCTGGCGCCTCGGCTTGGCCCTGGGCTGCTCTACGGCCCATCCGCAGCTCGGCAAAGGGCCACCTTTGCCCGCCAGCCAGTCTGTGCCCAGGGCACAGCTTGCTAGAGCAAGCTGGCATATCTATAGGGGCTGAAAAAAACAAAATAAAATCCCTCTCGGCTTTTTAATCCACATTTTCCAACCCCTTTAAGCAAGCACCGCAGAAGTACTTCCTGGGAAAATTATCGAAAAGGCAGATCGATCTTCAGCTCTGGACGCTGCTGCGGGAAGGGACGGCTGCTCCGGCAGGAGCAGGGGTTTATGCACAGGGCCTCGTTGGGGCCGGGGGCTAACGAGTACGTCCCCGGCCAGGAGCCAGGGCTCAGCCATGCCTCCTCCCCAGGCTGGCACGGAGCTGCCCTGTTGCTTTGGCACTCTTTTTTATTTGTTGCTTTGGGATATTTTTAAGCAGGTTCAACCCTTTTCTAAACGCAGTTCCACCTGATAAACAAACACCCAGAGACACCAGCTTTTAAAGGCACCAGTTGAGTCCTTACGTTCCTACACCCCCCAAAACACTATTTTAAGGCGACAGGGAAAGTTTGCTCCCGATTTTAAGCTTCCTTTTTGTCCTCCATCCCTCCCTCCCTGGATCGGAGACCGAGTGCAGCTCGGGGAGAGATCATGCAGATATTTTGACCTTAGGGATGGAAGAAACGAAATCCTGAAACGCAAAATATCTCTCGAGAAAGGGAAACCTTATCTCAAAAACCCTCCAAGCCTGAAGCCACAGGGAACACTCGGCACGCGGGGAGGGGACGGGGACGGCGCCGCCAAGGGATGCAGAGGACAAACGGAACCCGAACCTCCCGGGAAGCGCGACAGGAGCCCTGCCGGGGGCACCAGGCAGGGCACAGGTTTGAGCGACGGTTCCTCATCGCCCGGATGAGCGACACCCCCGCAGCGCAAGGACAC